GATTGCAGCTAATTACTTATTGCACCCGGAATTTTTTGGGCTATGTATATTCGAGATACACTAGTCATGATTATTAAGAGAAAGAGAAATGTTTAACTATCCATAACAAGAAGACGAAAAGATGAAGAAAAAAACTACTCTTAGTGGTGGGATAACCTGGAGAGTACTTGTACTTGGAGGCATTTACTTTGTCGCAAATAGAGGCTATTGAGGTGGTTGAACTTACGGGAGAAGCAGTGTTGTAGTTGGTGATTTCTGTGGGATTACTGGATGGTTGGTTCCTTGTGTGGATTGCCTCGTCATTGGCCAGAACACTTGAGACACTTCAGGTTAGACACTCGCATATCACATATTTTCGTTATCTGTCACAATATTATTAAGCCCCTTATCTGTCTTATGTTCATTGCACAGTAAGAGATACTTGGCTCCTTACAGGAACTTCACCAACGTATTTGGTATCTCTCTGTCGCTTGGATTGGTTTCGAGGTAAAAACTTCTATTACTTGAGACTCCAATTCAAATTTGTGTAATCTTAGTAACATTTATCTTTGTCTCTGTTTCAGCTATACTATAGGGCATCTGATCCTCTCAGCCAGCTTTGGCAATGGGCATGGACCATTCCCACTGGTTGGAATCTGCTCTTGTATGGTTTGCTAGCAGTCCAATGCCTCCTTTGGGGTCCAATTAGAGTCTAGTTGTGTGTTGTAGAGCCTGTCTGCTTGTGTAATGGTAGGATCAACTTTAAAAATATTGTAATGATTCTTCTTTTTACATATATAACGCCGAGTGTGATTACAATGAGTATGCCAAGAGATTGCTATTATCGGTTGAGTGGAAATTGCATGAATCCCTAGATATTGTTATTATCGGTTGAGTGGAAATTGCATGGGGTACGTACTGAAGCCTATCCTTATAATTATATTTGGTATAAATTGGTAAACAATAGTATCAAAAGTTGATATTTGCTTATATTTTTGGCTAACTAACTCTGATTGAAAAAAAATTCTTAAGAAGTGTAACGTATAAATATACATATATAAATACTAGTCTTTCTGTTTTTGTAATAATAGATGTTTTATAGAGAATACATATTATTTGTATTAAAAGCTATATCGGTATATATAATACAATCTTTGTTTTACAAATTAAACATAATATAGTGAAAAATCATTTTGTTAAAATTTTCTTCCAAAACATATTTCACAAAAAACCAGTACTATTTATGTTATTTTATTATCAAACAGTTAAATTATAAAACTAAAATATTATTTTTATTTGGTATAAGGCATCAAAATCATAACCAATTGTAAAGGCTTATATGTATATTACCACTTAACTTAAATAAAATTATAGCAAATTTTAAAGCATTTTATGTTTGTCACTTTCACAACTGTTGTTGATGCATAGTATAGTTAAATATGGGGTTGTCTATTTTAAGGCCGATTTTAGAGATTTTTGTATCTGTACTAAATGAAAGGAACTATTTGGAGTTTCTTAAGTTATACACATCAGTTTTTTTAAATTACTGTAAAAATATGCCACATCAGCAAAAAACAATAATAAAATTCTAACTTTATATTTTTTGAAATACACACAAATAAAATAAACATAACCACTAAAATTAATAAAGTTATTGACAAAAGTAAATAAAACTAAAATATTATTTTTTGAATCAGTAAAATAAACATTATTTAAATCTATAGCATCAATATATACTCCATTTGTTTGTAATATAATAAATTAACAATAATAAAATTCACTTTTCATAACAATAAAATCCAACATTATTTTATACGATTTAGGAAAGCTTTCTTAGAATTTTCTAAAAGGCCCTCACAAATGTGTATGTTTCCTAAACATAATTATGTAGATTCGTGGATATTTGATTTGGGAAGGCCTTTCTAATTTTCAGGAAAGTTTCTGTATTGTTTAGGAAGTCTTTTTGATCTATAATGTTTTAGGAAAGTCATCCTAATTTAGATTAGTTTAGTTCAGTTAAATGATTTATTTAGATGTTAAATAACTAACAACTTGAACCATTTTCTCTTATTTTGATTTGGGAAGGCCTTACTAATTTTCAGGAAGGCTTCTGTACTATTTATGAAGTCTTTCCTAATTTATAGTGATTTAGGAAGGTCATCCTAATTTAGACTAGTTTAGTCGATTTAAATAATCATCATATAATATATAAAAGTTGATGGCATAGTGCATTTAGAGCGTCCACAAAGGGTGAAGAAACTCAATCTGATTGGTCCACATCATCGTTTTTCATTAATCACAAAAATGTTAAGTATGATTAAGATGAAGAAACTCAATATGATTGGTCCACATCAGTGTCTTTCATTAAACATAAAAATGTTAAATTTGATTAAAATATTACAAAATTAATTTCTAATTTTTTTTAATATTAGTAGAACGAAGAAACTCAATATGATTAGTCCACATCATCATTTTTCATTAATCACAAAAATGTTAAGTATGATTAAGATAAAGAAACTCAATATGATTGCTCCACATCATTGTCTTTCATTAAACAAAAAAATATTAAATTTGATTAAAACATTACAAAATTAATTTCTATTTTTTTTAATATTAATTTCATTTTTTAAAAAACTCGATCTGATAGGTCCACATCAGCATATTCAATAATGAAATTGTTAAGTATGATTAAGACGGAAAATTTTGATTTAGTTGGTCCACATCAGTTTTGTAATCAAAACAAAAATTATTAAGTATAATTAAAATATTAAAAGTTTATTTAACAAATTATGTCCCAAAAAAGTGAATTCAATTTGATTGATCCAAATCAACATATTTATTACATCAGAAAATGTTAATATGGTTTAAAATTTTAAAAATTAAATAAAAAATTAACAATTAACAATACATGTATAAAAAAATAACAATTATCGATTATCAATTTAAAAAAAATTTACAACAACTCGATTTAATAATTAAAATAATAAAAACTGAATAAAAATATAGCATAAAACTCTTGGAAGACATGATGGAGAAGGAAAAAATAGTTTTGCATGATCATTACAGCTTCCTAACAAAATTAAATGCGAATCAACATGAATCATGAATTATATATGCAGTGGTACACAACATCAATAAGACTTTTAATAAAAAAACTAAATATTTAAACACATAAACCTTTAAGAAAAAAGAACTATAGAAATTCTATGGAAAATAGAAAATAATATCAAAATCTTAGCAAGATTATATTTCTCTAAATCAAATATATATGTACGTCAAAGTTGGATAATTCGATAGGTGTCATTGTTATTATTTTACTTAATAGTTTTTAAAAAATTTATAAATAAAAATAGGATAAAGTACATATTATATATTAAATTCTCTTATATAAATGAAAATTTCTATAAATATATTATATTTTTATAATTTTAAAGATAATAGCTAAAAAAAAAATCAAAATAGTAATACAGATTTGCGCGTAGCGCGAATTATATATCTAATTTAGTTAAAACGTGAAAATAACAACTTGAACCATTTTATATTGATTAAAATGTCTTATTTGAGTGTCTCACTTAAAAGCAAATGTCAGAAATCAATAAATTAACTTAATTTTATATTCAAGAAGGTTTTTATAATTTGCAGGAAAGATTCATGTTAGATTAGAAATATTTTCTTAATTCGGTAGAATCAGCATCCGAATCTACGGAACCAAAAATCAGCGGAGGAGAAGAAAGAGTAAACATATTACACAAATCTGAAAATCTCAAACAAGAGAAAAAAGCTAACGGAGACAACCCCAAATCAAGCAAATCAGCATCAAAATCCATGAAACCAAAAATCAGTAGAGAATAAGGAGGAGGAAACAGCTTACACAATTTTGAAAAATCTCAAATCAGAGAAAGAAGTTAACATAGACAACCCCAAATCAACCAAATCAGCATTTAAATCTATGAAACCAAAAATCAGCAGAGAATAAGGAGGAGGAAACAACTTACATAAATTTGAAAAAATTCAAATCAGAGAAAGAAGCTAACAGAGACAATCCCATATCGAGCAAATCAGCATCAAAATCTATGAAACAAAAAAATTATCAAAGGAAGAGGAAATAACTTACACAAATTTGAAAAATCACAAATCAGAGAAAGAAGTTAACAGAGACAACCTCAAATCAAGCAAAACAGAATCAAAATCCATAAAACAAAAAAAAATCAGCAGAGAATAAGGAGGAGGAAACAGCTTACACAAATTTTAAAAAAAATCTCAAATCAGAGAAAGAAGTTAACAGAGACAGTCCCAAATTAAGCAAATCAACATCAAAATTCATAAAACCAAAATTCAGCGAAGGAGAAAAAGGAGAAAACAGCTTAAATCTCAAATTGGAGACAGAAGTTAACACTAGTCTGATGATAAGGATAAGAAATTTGGCGGCGATGGTAGCTATATGTTGAAGCTTGCAAAGAAAATGAGGCTTTTAGAGCATAATTTTATGAGAAAAATAAATTACAATTTTACAATGATATGATACGAAATGAAAAAAAGAGAATATTTGGAAATAATAAGTTTTTTTATTAAACTGAAGATAATAAAGTAACTTTTAATAATGAAAGATGTTATAAATATAAATTTTTCACCGTATCTGATATTTTATAAAAAAAATTAGTTTATATATTATTTAGAGAAATTTCTCTAAAATTTAAGATAATGCAACTTTTTAATAAATAATTAATTTTAAAGTAATTTAAAGTTTATGTTGAGATTTTAACTAATATTACCAAAGTAACAACAAAAATAGTAAAAAATCACTCTTTATATTTGTTTATTAATTTTCTTTTTAAAATTATAAATATCAAAATGATTGTAATAAAATTGAATAATAATAACATTGAATAAAGTTAAGAAATCAATAATATTAAATATAAATATTATTTTAAAATAACTATTAATAAAAATTTCTTCATGAAATTCTTTAATCGAATACCTCTCCCCCTAACTTTATTGTTTTAAGAGTATTTGTTGACAGGAAAAAAAAGAAAAGAAAAAAGAATTGTGAATAATCGTGAATGTGACAGGTTTACCTGTCCGGTTGTTTCAGCTCCCTACCCAATTTTTGGTTCGATCGAGAATCTTCTGATCAGCACTTTCTAACAATTTGAGCTGATCTCAATGGAAAATCGCTCGATAGGGTTCTGGGCGGTGTGGATTTTGCTCGTCGGAAGCTTGATCGGCGTTTCCGATGCGTCGATTCACGAGTACAAGAACGAAAGGTTCACTGTACGAGCTAATGCTCGATTCTTCCATGGCGGAAGCGAAGGCCTTTACGCTTCCACGTTTCAGGATGTGAACGCTTCTTCTGATAAACCTCTTAAAGGAAAGTCCTTTATAAGGTTAGTTTATGCTTTCACTCGTTTGATTAGTCTTAATTCTCGATGCTTATGAGATGTTCACAATGTTAGAGTAATCTAGTAACGATACCATGAATTTAATTTTCTAAGCTTGTATGGTTTGTTTAAGAGTACTTCACACAGAGAAGTAGGAAGCTCCATTAATGCAAATATTTGTGTGTGTTTAGGTTTGATGAGGTGACATTTGTGAGGACGATGGAATCTGCTAGCAAACAGAACCCAATGCAGTCAACTTCAGGGTTGGTTGAAGCAATAATACTTGAAGTGAAAGACCGTGAGAGAATCGGTGGATCTTTCCTCAAAAGCGACGACATTTGCTGCACCCCTGAGCTCGCTGATACTGGATCTTGCACACTAGGGGAAGTTATCATTAGGAGAGATGATTCTAACAATCTCGAGTGGCCAAGACAGATCAAGACTTTCTTTAGAGGGAACAAGACAGAAACCAAAATGTCCCCTGAAGATGTGGTTATAAACAAGACAGGGATGTACTATCTTTATTTCATGATTTGTGACCCGGAGCTTGACGGTACTATAATCAGAGGAAGAACAGTTTGGAAGAACCCTGATGGTTATTTACCTGGAAAGGTTGCTCCTTTGATGAAATTCTTCGGGTTTATGTCGTTAGCTTATCTTTTGCTGGGACTCGTTTGGTTCCTGAGGTTTGTTCAGTTCTGGAAAGATATCATTCAGCTTCACTATCATATCACTTTGGTTATTGCTCTTGGTATGTGTGAAATGGCTGTTAAGTACTTTGAGTATGCTAATTTCGACTCGACTGGGATGAGGCCGATGGATGTTACTCTGTGGGCTGTGACTTTTTCTTCCATTAAAAAGACGCTTTCGAGGCTGCTTCTTCTCGTCGTCTCTATGGGTTATGGTGTTGTGAAGCCTACACTTGGTGGCATAACCTCGAGGGTGCTTCTTCTTGGCGTCATCTATTTCGTTGCAACGGAGGCTCTTGAGTTGGTTGAGCATTTGGGAAACATCAATGACTTTTCTGGGAAAACTATGATATATTTGGTGATTCCTGTGGCGTTACTTGATGCTTGCTTTATCCTGTGGATCTTCTCATCGTTGGCAAGAACCCTTGAGAAACTTCAGGTAAGATACAAGACTTATATTCAACTGGTTTTCTTTGTTTATGAATTTCCAGATACACAAATCAGATATTTTATGATCTGTTACATTAGTATAACCATGGCTAATGTTATACTGCAGATTAAGAGAAACATGGCTAAGCTTGAGCTTTATAGGAATTTCACTAATGCACTAGCTATCTCTGTTCTGCTCTCCATTGCTTGGATTGGTTTTGAGGTATCTACTCTGCTACTCTAGTGACAGACTCTCGTGTAGTTTCTGAAATCACAAGTCAAAGAAGTGCTTCTGAAATCACATTCTTCTTTGTCTCTGTAACAGCTCTACTTCAATGCAAATGACCCTCTAAGCGAGCTCTGGCGAGTGGCATGGATCATTCCAGCTTTCTGGAATCTACTTTCTTATGGTCTATTAGCAGTCATATGCATCCTTTGGGCTCCATCGAACAATCCCACCAGGTTCCATCACTTATCCTTACCCTTTACTCAAATATTTTTTAGATCTCAATGGTCTCCAAGAGTCAACTGCCAAAGATGTCTAGATTCAAGACTCTGATATGATGCACTCAGCTTAACTCTTAATTGGTTTAAACCTTGCAGGTATTCATACTTAGCGGAAACAGGGGATGACTTTGAAGAAGAAGGTGTTTCATTGACGGGTAGTGGAATTAAGAGTACAAGCGACATTGAAAGGAATGAACTAATATACGGGCTTGCAGACGACATCGAGGAGGACAAGCGTGAGTAAGCTTCAGGACACAAGCATTTAGAAGTTTTTAGTGTAAGTCTTGAGAATCCGGTTTGTAACTTTTATGTAAATCTCTTAACCTTTGTGCATGAGTAAGTTGTTTTCTGACCCTTAAGGAGTTATTTACTCAGATCATAGTTCTTGTAGTCTTATTTGGTTACTATAAGGAGAAAAGCCTATATACCGACTGTTTACTTACGGAGTTTCAAAAGGAATTTTTTTATACATTAGAGACTTGAGATATTCGTCAACACGTTGATCATCATCGTAGCTGTACATCAAAGGAACTGTTCTTGCAATGTCTTAGACAAGCTTTTGTGAAGGCTCTTGAGAATGGTCTTGGATTCAGACACTCTTTGTTCAAACATTTCCATGCTTTAGATATCTTCTTGAAAACATGTGTTCTTGTGCTCGTTGAGGTAACACTCTATGTATGATCCATCAATCCCATCTTGATTTTTCATCCTGTTATATGACAAAACAAAATTGTCTCTTAAGATCCTAAAACTTGAATGGCATCGATCATCTCTAAGCTCTCAAATGTGTCATCTCGGTTTGAAATTAGTATATTCTTCTTGATATTCAATTAGTGTAAAGATTCCAACAAAAAAAACAAAAACACATTCTTTTGAAATGTGGGGTGATATTACAAAGTAGTAAGAATCAAAAAGAACATACTACGATGGATGTGTTATGAATTATTATCAAACTGCTTCAAATGGCTAAAGACCGGAGCGTGGAGATAGCTTCTCTTTACACTACCGATGGGGGGGGGGGACACAAGTACAACAACTTCACATGTCTAATACGTCGTCGTTTTCTGCAGTAATCAAGTAATGCCAAATACGTTGTCGTTTCGCCTCACTGAAGTAATGAATGAAGAGACTGTAGCAAAGGTTATTCTTCTCCACTGAATCAGAATCTTATTTTTGGTTCTGCTGCATCTTTCCGTTTGATCGCTCTCAATCGATCTGATGGGAAATGGGTTCGTGGGTTTGCGTCTGCTACTGAAGCTGAAGTAGAGAGAAAGGGTAATGGTGCTTTTTTTTTCGCGGACCATGCTGTTTCTTGGAAGTCGCTTGGGTTATCGGATTAAGTTTCTGTGGCTCTTCAAGATTCTGGGTTCGGAAGACCATCTCTATTACTCAGGTAAAGTTTTCAAATTTTTGGGAATTTAAAAAGTGAACTTGGAGAATCACTTGTTGATTGTGAAAATGATGAGTTAAAATTTGCTTCTTTTATGAAACCTTTTAGGATTGTGAGTTATGTTTTGAATAATTGCTGGCCAGATGATTGATTTTATGGGTTTCTCCTACGTTTTATGTTGTTCCGTCGAATTTTGAAATTGACATTGTGGTTCAGTTACTGGCAGCTTTACTTTGATCTGTCTACTATTAAGTTTTGCTACAGGATCCTAATACATTACAGTCACATTCAAATGCAGGAGGACTCTTGAAACATATGTGTTTCCAGATGCTATTTGGGTTAGTGTTGGAAACTTTCTTCACCGAAACAGTCCTAGGTGATAAAAAAAAGCTTCTCTCTTTCATCTTCTTTAAAGTAGGGTTACATCATTTCCGCATCACTCACACAGAGTCGCTATTGTCTCTGCTGTGTTGTGGACTAAAGCAGAAAGGGGTTGAAGTCACAGTAGACACACAGGTTGATGCACTTATAGAGGCTGTAAGGAACAACAACAGATATAGCGAAGACAGTGTTTGCCAATATCGTTGAGGCGGTTGAAGCAGTAGCAGATATATTGGAGAAAGCTAGTAGTATCCAGTGTTACCGTTTATCACAAGAACCATACGCTATATGGAACTGTGACGAGTCTATACACTGAGTCTAAACGCAATTTAGTAGAAGCAATCCGTGAAGCAGTGAAAACTGGTCGGCCTGTGGTATAGTTTCTATCAAACTCACATGAACTCAAATTCTAGTTTCTGTTTGCAATAGCAATTGCATATATTGCTTGTGGTGATTGATTGATTCGTGTGTTATGTTTATATGAAATGTTTCAGGAAACTGCATTCAGCAGGAAAAGGGGTTTCAGAAACAAGATTGAGAAGAGAGGTGAAAAACTAGATGCAGAACATTGAGAAAGACTGTAGAGCTAAAAAAGAAATGGTGTTTGCGTTTAATTTACAGCTCTTTTTAAAGCTGGAGAAGCAAAGGAGCCTCAAGCAAAGGATCATCACACTGATCGTTGTATATATTGCAAAAATGGAATAATCACTTCTATCATCTTTGTTGTTCCAATATGAATATGATAACTTTTGTTCCAAGCTTAAGCTTAATTTTTTTTTAAAAAGCTTATTTTTCTTCGATTTATTTGCCGATGGTAGAATTGTATTATTTTTCTATGATTAGTATAGAAAGAAAAAAAAACGTAAAGATAAAAACACTACAACCGACCTGTGAAAATATCAGATTTTGGGCGGGAAAGTTAAAAGAAAAATTTAACCGCGTTAAGAACGCGTTTTCACAAGAATCTGACCGTTAAACATATTTTATCAGTCTCTATAAATATCAATGACATCATTAACCCTATCTACTTTCCTTTCACAACAATTTCAATTACTCTCTCTTACTCTGCCGCACGAAGATAAAATCACAAACAAACAATGGCTCCTCGACAAAGAAACTCCGATGATGAACGAAGAGAGCGAGGCTTGATTATTTCAAAAGACGATTTCCAAATTTCAATAAGAAAGCGACGGAGCTCTCTGTTCTCTGTGGCAACTCCGTCGTCTTCGTCTGCTACACTCCCGACGACGATAAAGTTCATGTATTCCCTGAGAATCGACGAGAGATCCAAGATATAGTCTCAAAATTCAAGAACCAGAGCGACGAGAAGAGGAAGAAAAACTCTCGCGATGTCTATGATTACCCAAATCTGGACGGATTGTCTGCCGATGAACTCAGGAATCACCTCTCTGTCATCAATGCGCAATTGTCTGGAGTCAGACAGATGAAAAGAGAACTCGTGTCGGAGAAGATCAATTCCGAACAGAGAGGATCCGGTCAATTAGGGTTTGTTTCCGATTTGGGATGTTGTGCGGATGGTGTTGGTGTTTCGGGTACGGAAGCTGATTCTTCTCCGCTGGAATTAGGGTTTCAGGCGTCGGAGCCAACGGCGGTGGCATACAGTCCGTCGGGGTTTTGTGGCGGTGATTGTATTTGGGATTCTTCTCGGCTGGATTTGGAGTTTTTCGGTACCAACACGCTTCCAATTGTTTAGTTTCGTAGTTTGATTGTTTAATTGCGAATTTTAGAAATTAGTATCAATGCTTGAATGATGAACTCGGTTTAGTTGTAAGATCTCGCACTATCTCAATATATGTGTGTGTGTTTTTTTTTTCTTTGTTTCTTTGGATCTAATGACTTTCGTCAGAGATGGAACTTGATGCTTTCAGAAAGATCTTAAATCTCTACGACCTGTGAATAAACCACTTGTGAATATAACTTTGAACCTCGTCATCTCTCTGATCTCGTCAAATATAGCTTTAGCTGATTCTTTGCTTTCATCAAACTCTGTCAGTGAGACATTTCACTTTTGATTTGTATGCTCTTGTGTACATAGGACTGGTTTTATCCGCTTTATGGATCTGCTCTTGCCAAGATTGGTTGCACAGTAAACCCATATCACTACTGCGTTCCCCATGTTTTTTCTTACATAGTTTTTTGTTTCTTTTTTGACAGACTATGCTCGCCGCTATAAGAATGGAACTTATGACTCCTCCTTCAGACGAAGGATGCATAGGTTTGTTTGTTGCCTCGACCTTATTTATCTCTTTCTATGTGGTTTTGTTCTTCTTCTTTAGTGTTTCATTTGTGACTGGTCGATTCTGTTTGTCTGGTTTTAAGCTATCGAGTCCCACATGCCTCCTATATGCTCTTCTAAAACGCCCTTGAGTTGTGTTACATATGCTTTCTCATTCACATACATCTCTGTGCACTTGTTTATTTTGTTCTGAGGAGAATCTTCTCCCTAAAACTGTTTACCTTTATTGCAGTTGTGCCTAGCTAGTGGATGCTGACGGTGCTCTGCTTTCTGCTGTTGCAGCCTTTTTCTAATTGTAAGCTCTTCTTCAGTCTCATCCTTTATTTGGTTGCATACAAACGCCTTTGAGTTGAGCTGTTTCCTAAGATCCGACTGAAATCTTGAACTTTTTAAGGTCATCATCATCATCAGTTTCCTTTTCGAATCTGCAGATGTTCGTATAGAGAAGTTGATGACCCATTGCTTCCTGTTTCTTCTTAGCAAATTTAGCATTATGAATTGATGATTCGATTATTCTTCTCTTATTTGGTTTGCAGAAGCTAAAGCAAAACATGGGATTACAAGACAAGACTTGTCGTCAGAGATGGAAGTTGATGCTTTCAGAAAGATCTTTCCTCTTCGTTTCTTTGAGCGTCATCTCTCTGGATCTCTACGACCTGATGGGAAAGCCAGAGACACCATTGTAACATAAGCTGATTCATTTGCTTTCATCAGATTCAGTCAATGGAACATTTCAATTGATTCCCTTGTGTATAGGGCTTGTTTCATCTGCCGGTGGATAAGATTACGAGCCATGACAAGGAACTCCTAACATGGATACGTCTCTGCGAGTAAGTGGTGATTCTCCTCTCCCATTAACCACAGTTGTTCTGTCTGAGTTCATTGGTTGCGATTAAGGTTAATCCTTGAGACGTTGTTGCTGTAGATATATATTCTGCCATGACCATGTTTCATTTTGAGAAGCAACTATGACATTAAGAAACACTATCACAGTATCATTACATTAGTACACATGATGTAGCATATTGGGTTTTTTTTTTTAGGATTGGAGAGGGTTCGGGTTTTTTTGTTTCAGAAGGCTCTGTACATTGCGAAAACTGTAAGTGCTTACTAAAGATCAAGCAAGATAGCTATATTTCTTGGAATAGCGTCTAAACACTTTTGATGGTTTGTCTTAATTCTGATAGTGTTGTAAAATCTTTGTTTGTCGTCACAGTTTGAAGTCTAGCACTAGCAGTCCCTTCGTCTTGATTGGCTTCTAAGGCTGGGAGAATCTTTATTTGTCCAAGAGAGCTAGGAGAGAGCCCAAGAGAGCTCCTGTTGAATCTGGACGACTGAAGAGCGTGGAGAGAGTCCAAGAGAGCTCGGAGAATCTTTATTTGTCGTCACAGTTTGAAGGAGGTGACGACAAGTCCAAGAGAGCACGGAGAAGACAAGTCTACTTTTGGGGTCACTACGTCTAGTCCATCAACAGAAGGTGGACTTGTCTTCTCCTTCTGATGAGCTTAGAACAGTGACGCAAAAGCCAGACTTTCCGTCACCTCCTGCTAGACTACAAACTCTGAGGACAAATGAAGATTCTGGACTCTCTACACGTTCTTCAGTCTTCCGGATTCAACACAAGAATACAGAGTAACAGGAACTAAGCAAAGGTCTTGTGACGGTGAAAGTTCTTAGCAGAATGCTTGAAGAAGGAAAGGCACAAGTTTTTATGGTATGCATTGGGGATGACAAAGATCAGACGAGCATAACCAACAACACTATCGGCCAATCATCGTCAATGTCTGCAGAGATATTCACTTCCTTGATACAGTAAGCAACCTCAAGAAATTGCTTGAAGGACTTGTCAACACTTGGAGCCCAAAGTCTAGGTATTTTTTCTCACCTCAGAGTCTCCCTTTGAAAGCGTGGTATGAGTAAGAAATCAGATATCAATTGTTTACTTAGTTATCTAGAGTAAAATTTCTGAATCTGAATCAGGAAAAGAAACATCAATCAGATTGCTTACTGTCTCAATGATGTGTCTTGTGTATAATTGGTATTGTGTTTGTATATAGCGTCTTGTGTATGATTGGTAACAATTTATTCTGAAATCTCGTCGTCACACTCTCTGTTCAGGCAGACAAACACTGTTGATTGTTGTTTTTGACATAAGCTTCTCAGCTGTTCAGTTATGGCAACTCCTTGCTTGGCAAACACGATAGACTACTTCATGAAACTCAGCTCTTTCAAAGTTTAGACCTGCAAGAATGTCCCCAAAATGTGTCTTTTGCCAGAAAATACACCACTTAAAGAGCTTTAACCAAATTACAGAGAAAACATGCCAAATATAACCCAAACAAGGGAAAAAGGTCGATCAAAGATTATCTACGCTTTGGGACTAAGAGGTTTCTTTAGTAGACTTAATTGTCTATGAAACTGGTTCGACCTGATTGTACAAGGATTCATCATGGTCAGTGGGAAAGAAATATGAAACAAAAGGAGATGTGCAATTGGAACGGTGAAAATAGAATAGAGGCTTTTTGACAGGAAAAAAAGTTACAAGGTTAAAAATATAAGAAACCAAAAAGTTGAGAAGCAAAACGAAAAACAAAATGCAATTGGAACGGTGAAGATAGAATAGGGGCTTTTTGACCGGAAGAAAAAGTTACGTGGCCGAAAATATAAGAAACCAAAAAGTTGAGAGGCGAAAAGGTAAAAAAAAAGATTAACCTGTCAGACCGCCGAAAATATAAGAAACCAAAAAGTTGAGAGGCGAAAAGGTAAAAAAAAAGATTAACCTGTCAGACCGCCGTGCAACCACCCCGGCTAGGATTAAACCGAGCCGAGTAACGATCCTCTACAGCACCAGATGCATCAGAAGATGATCGTGGCCGTTAATCACGCTCCGATCACACAGTCATGGATCATCAACCAGGATTAAGGGCCTGTCTCCTTAGAAAGCAAGGATACAGAGGTACGAGCCTATAGAACAGATCCTGTTCAAGTAAGGTCGTGACCTAAAGCTCCGTCTCTCCCCTATATAAACAACACAACTGTTCTCTACATTACCGATGTGGGACGAAAAATAAACAACTTCACATGCCCGACACGTCGTCGTTTCTGTACCTCAAAGAGCTAATACCAAATACGCTGCCGTTTCTTTTAATAGATTTATTTGTGAATCCAATGATTTTCTCTCTTTCACGCTCTGTATCCGAAGCTCTTAATTATCCCCATAAGTTTTATCGGGCTCTCTCTTATGGTTCCTCTGCGTCTTCCCGTTCGATCTCTATCTCTCGCAATCGATCTGATGGATAATGGGTTCGTAGGTTTGCGTCTTCTACAGTTCTACTGGAAGCAGAAGTAGATAGAAAGGGTAATGATACGTCTTTTCGCGGACTATGCCGTTTCCTGGAAATCTCGTAGGGTTGTCGGATAAGATCTCTGTGGCTCTTCGAGATTCTGGGTTCGAAAGATCGTCTCTTAATCAGGCAAGTGTTCAAATTTTGTGAATTTAAAATTTGAGCTTGGATAATCACTTGTTGATTGTGAAATGGTAGAGCTAAATAAAGTTGCTGCTTTTGTGAAATTTTAGGATTGTTTGAAGCAAATTTGTATCTGGCTCGATGACTGGTTTTATGGGTTATGCTAATAAATTTGTTATGTTATTCAGTGGGAATTTTGAATTGAGGCAAAACAAGACGTGTCGTCGGAGATGCCTTGAGAAGATAATCTGCCGTCTCTTGTTATGGAGGTTTTTGATTTGAGAAGCAACTACGGCATTTTAAAAAAAAAACGATATCACTAAATTGGCCAATTGCACTTGAAATTGAAAAGTTATTGAAAGATTTCTTTAGTTAACATACATGTAAATGGTAGCAGAACTTTTAAGGATTGTTAAAATTTTCAAAACCCGTTGTTATTTGATTATGGATTTTGATATTCTTAGTTACTAAAATCTACTGTTATTCCTGTGATGATTTGTAAATTTCATACAAAATCCACTGTTATTTAAGATGCTGGGGTTTTAATAATTCTATCATTTTATCAAAATCTGATACTATTGAAACACGAGTTGTTAACAATTTAACTCATAAAACATTATTTTCAAATTACTAGAGATATCCATGAAGTTAAGTCAATCAAGTAAAGTATTTCGAAAAAATTTCTGAATACACAAACTCTCTATAAATATAACAAAACTCTTTACAAATTTAACAAATTTTTAAAATTTTAAAATCAGCTAACTCTTAATAAATTCAATAAGAATAATAAAATAGATATATATTTCATGTAATAAAAACTAACATTTCCCTACTTTATATGAATCTATCATATATTAAAAGAGAAATATTGAAGACTATTCTTTCTTAGGTGTCATCACCACATTAATTCTTAATTTTTTAAATTTTATTTAATCTTTTTAAACTATTACACTAACCAAACATTTTATTTTTTAATCCAGATTAGTCCCTAAATAATTTTATCTAGGTTACCAAACACATTTTCAAATATTTCAATTTCTAATTATCATATCTTTTTTTTGTTCCTACAAAATCAACATAAAATATGATAGTAAATTTTTATTAATTTAAAATAATCATTGTTAGAAATTAGTTGATGGTATAAAACAATTGTTCTTAATTTTGGAATGTTTTAAATTTTTAATAAAGTAATTTATTTTACACCAAAATAACTTATTTACAATCCCAAAATAAATAAAATTTAGAGATTATTAAAAAGGATTTATATTTTACACCAAAAAACTATCAATATATTTCAAACCTTGATTTCAATAAAAATAGTTTGTCTATACAAAAAATAATAAGCACTTAAACTATATAAAAAATTACATTCGGTTTCACAAAATTTACTTCTCATTTTATACTTTCGATAGTAAAAAAAGTAATTACAATGTTTATTTTACATTAAAAATTGTAAATTATTGTAAAAAAACATTTATTCTGTCTCTAGACGTGGGCTATAGTTTAATATCATAAAATCAAAGGTATATTTTCACAATCCATAAATCTTGCAAACACACATAATTTTTAATGTCGAATAAAAATTAATTATATGTCCATATATATATAAATAATGTTGTCCTTACCCGAGGGAGAGGTTCTTTTGTGAACGGAAGCAACAATCAAAAGAGAAGCTCAGATTTCAAATGCATACGAGTCTTCTCTGTAGTTCCATCAGCAAATTATGGTTATCACAAACTGATTACACTCAAGCAAACATTAAAAGTTTACAAATATCCCAATTTAAGAGGAGAGTTGAATCAATTCTATGCAAGAACACTTAGTTTCTTTTCATATAGCTTTGCTCGTCGAAGAGCATCTAATGCCTCTGCTTGCTTCCCTGAACGTTTCAGGGTCACAGCTTTTATCTTCTCTGCTTTGATGCGTTCCTCTAATTGACTTCTCTCTTGACTATTATCACTTTCCTTGGCTTGACTCGGTTTCACAGCTTCACGCACCGGTTTTGGAACAGCTTGTGTTGTTGTGTCTATTTTACTCACAGGACTGTCTAATCCAATAGCTTTGAGGGCAGACAAGAGCTGAGGATCGAGAAAATCTTCAACTGCTACATCGTCCACTTGTTCCGGTTTAGCTGATGTTGAATCCTCTAGCTGAGCTTCAAGAGCTTTGGCGATTTCAAACTCAGCTTCTGCTTCTTGCATCTTACCTTCCCTACGAAGCTTCATGGCTTGACGTTTGTGGCTTAGCGACTCTTGCTGCAGCTTAAAACGGTCACGACCAGACATTGGCTTTGGAGCTGAGCTTGAAGGACTGTTCTCTTTCTCTCGCGTTGCAGAAACCGAGACATCTTGTCTTAGTTTTTCAGGAGAAGGGCTTTCTCCTTCTTGTTGTCTCCTCTCCAGCAGCTTTGCTTGTTGCAATGCCTCTTTTGCTTCACTTATTCTTCCTTCTTTCTTTAATGCAAGTGCCTTTCTCTTATGAGCCATAATCTCTTGTTTAAGACTGTTTTGAGGAGATGTATTTTGAACATTACCAGGAGCTGATAATGTTTGTTCAGTGCTGTGATTGTTCCCCAATCCAAGGTCTGACTTGGTCTCAGCTTTTCCTTTCTCTGTAGGAACTTGAGACCTCTCACCAGTCAGCAAATCCAAATCCATCATACTTGGTTGCTTCTGGCTCGATTCAGCATCAACTCTACTTTCGATCATCCCACTACGAGCAGGGGAGATAAAGTCTCCTAACAAGTCATAACTATCTTGAGCAGTAGGTTTTACTGCTTTCTCCTCCGTTTGAGATCCAACTAATGAATCAACGTCCATTGTAGAAGCTGAGCTTTTCGTCTCCATAGGCTCATCCTTGGGGGTTTCTAGTTCTGCTAGCTGTTCTTCCAAAACTTTGGCCTTACTGTATAATTCATCAGCGTCTCCATTTTTCCCTTGACGCTTGAAGGCAAGTGCTTTCCTTTTCAAGTCCAGAAGCTCTCTTTGGATCTGCCCCTTGCTTTTGGATGCTACACGCGGACCAGTAGAGTGCGTAGAGCTAAATGAAGCTTCTTCTTTCTTGGGTTCTTCATCCTCCCATCCCAGATTCTTAAGAGTCGATAATAGTGATGGATCCTTCATATCGCTTTCTGTAACGCTATCATCTTCAGCATTGATCCCACTATCAGTAGAAGTTTTCTTCATCTGATCACCGTCAGCGAAAACGTTCTTGCCTGAATCAATCTCTAACATTTGGGCTTCCAGTATTTTGGTCTGGTTCAGAACTTCCTCTGCTTCATCAACATTGCCCTGTCGCCGCAAAGTTAGAGCCTTTCTTTTCAGCCCTAGGAGCTCTCGTTGTATCTCAGCTTTACTTCTTCTTGGTTTTGTAACACGGACTTCGAATGGATCTTGAGTTTTTGTTATTTTCCCTGGTTGAGAACTAACTGGTTCAGGTTTACCTGCAGGAGGATTACTATCCTCATCATTCCAGCCTAAACTCTTAAGCATCGAGAGGTAATTCGGATCGTTTAACTCCTCATCTTTTACATCTACCTCTCCATCATCATCCAGAGAAGTTATAGATATATCAGGCAAATCATTTCCAAGATCTCTTTTCTCACGAGTAGCCTTTCCTGCTGCAGCTAACTTTGACGAATTGTCTAGCTCTTCAAGCTGCTCTTGGAGAACCGTTCCTTTCTTCAGTTCCTCTTCAGCTTCGTTGAACTTTCCTTCCCTTTTCAAAGTAAGCGCTTTCTTTTTCACAGCAAGAAGTTCTCTCTGAATCGCTAGCCTGCTTCTAGCAGGAAGTTTCTGGTTCGTGTCCCTTTCAGCCCTAGTCGTATCAACAGTTTGTGAGGACGTATCACCTGACTCTAGTTCCCTCTCAAGTAACTTTGCCTTCTTCAGTGTAGCCATGGCTTCTGCAGCATTTCCAGCTCGTTTTAGAGTAAGAGCCTCTCTTTTCAAGGTCTGGATTTCAGCAAAACGTTCTTCTCTGTTGTTAGGAGAAGGCCGAGAGAGGACATTGTCACGGTGTCCTGGCTTCTCGTTCCAGCCCAAAGATTTCAACGCAGCAGCAATTGCTGGATCCTCCATATCTTCATCTGTGACATCAAATTCACCATGAACTCCAATATCATCTACATTTCCCACAAGGCCACTAATGTCAAAATCATGGCTCCCTTCATATTGAGCTAACAGATCATCTTCTTTGTCATCATCTATACTGTTAATAAGCGCAGATAGCTCATCATCCGATTCATCGGCTCCACCCAAAAGCTCCTGCTCTTCAATCTCCCTTTCCAAAACTTTAGCCTTTTTCAGTTCCTCTTTAGCTTCTGCAAGCTTCCCTTCACGTTTTAACGCAAGTGCTCTCTTCTTAAGAGCAATGACCTGACTCTTGTCGATTCCACCACTCTTCTGTGGGTTAGTCCTCCCGGGAATTTCACGGAGAAGAGACGAAAGCTCACCCTCTAAACTAACAGTTGCTGGTTTCTTATCTTCATCGTCAGACCACCCGAGATCCCTCAGCTCAGCCGCCAAATCATCGTTTCCTTTACCTCCTTGACGTGGAGGCTTTTGCGATTTGCTTGATTCTCTCGTAGCAGCCTTGTTCTGCGTCTCAGCGACATTTCGCATGGACAGTACCCTTTTACGGTTCTTCCTCAATGTTATCTCTAGTGCATCAGCCTCTCTCTCAAGCTCCTTCCCTCTCTTGAAGGCTTTAAGAGCTTCATCAGATTTCCCTTCTCCTTTAAGAACTCTGTACTTATTCTTCTCTTCCACCGCTTGTTTACGCAGTTCTTCAGGACTAGCATCCACCTCCATGTCTTTGTTACTACTGCTGCTTCCCATTTCTTTAGAGGTAATCCTATCTGTACTAGACACTGATTCCGATGAAGAAGACACATCAACATCAGATCCCAGAATCTCACTGAGAACATCATCCTCACTCTTTATGCTCCTTTTAGAGCTACCTGCTGAAAAAACAACATCCACAAACCTATTTGAACCAAAACTTTATAGAGCAACCAAAACCAATTTAACGCAACCAAAAACACGAGCATGTTTTTTACCTTTTGGTGCTCTGTTTTTGTGACCATGGCGCAACTCGAACCGAGCAGCTTCTTCGAGTTTCTTACAGGGTTCACATATACGCACAGGTGAGTCGCCTTGTCCACGTAGTGACATTCTCTGCTGAGTGCAGCTACCACAGAAAATGCCTCCACATCTCCGGCAATGATGCTGTAGAAATACATAAACTTTCAGCTCATAAAAAAAAAGCTCAGAACATTTAAAGAAGATGATAAGTTTCAGAGACAGAAAATAATCCAACAAGTCACAAAGTCTGAGTGCAGCTTCACCAAATTGATGTGTTGTTCTTCACCAAATCCGATTAACCAAAAACAATTCTCTATGGAATCTATCAAATCAACACATCTAATTGATTGATTCAGTGAAGTTTTCGATAAACGGATTCAAAATTAGATCCAGAAGAGTCGGGTCCATACAATCGACTGATACAAAGCTAATATTGGACAAAGGAACTAAGAACGAGGAAGATCTTCGTAGCAAAAAAAGAGTAATACAATTGATCGAAACGAAGAGTAAAGAGAGAGAGAAAGACCTTGCGATTGATGAAAGTAAATTGAGAAGAACATCCTTGACAATGAGAAGCATCTACGACCCAGCTGTTTCCTCTCAGAGAAGGCTTCGCCGGTAATCCGATCTTCTCCAACATTTCCGTCTAGTTCCTCTCCTGCTCCCTCCGCGAAGCGCGTTTGATTTTCCCGGAAAACTAAAAAGATCGAAGATAGAAGAAAAATAATCGAGCAGATCACTCGAGAGAGAGAGAGATTGAAGAAGACAACACTTTTTTTCTCTCTATTTTTTTATTTCCGAATTAAATAATAAATCGCTTTGATCAAATTTCACATAAATACGGTGCCGTTTTACCTAAATACATAACGGGACTCAACATATAAAGCCAGAGACGTCGCCAAAGCTCACTGAAGCTTGAAGCCTCTCGAGCATCGCGAAAACGAAGCGCGAAAGAGAAAAACCCTAAAAAATCGCGAGAGAGACGATATAGTGTCTTGAAATCCCAATTCGTGCACGATGATCATCCCAGTTCGTTGCTTCACTTGTGGAAAGGTTTCCCCTTTTTCTCTCTCTCTATTTTGGGCATTCGATTTTTTCTCAGTTTCGCTATATAATGTGTTTCTGTTTTCGCGAATCGAGGAAAATTTCAGTCTCTAGGGTTGATAACTTGTGCTTATTAGGCTTTAAATCACTCTAGATTTGAGAAAGACAAAAGCTTTGAGATTTATGAAGCTTCATCTATATTATATGATGATATTAGGTGATTGGGAACAAATGGGACACATACCTTGATCTTCTCCAAGCTGATTACACCGAAGGGTAAGCGATTTTGATGCCTTCTTAAGCTAATAAGCCTCAGATTCTGAACGTTCTCTGACATTTTATGTTGAAATTAGTTACACTTGTCCTCTAAAAGGAGAAACAATAGATGAATTTGATGGTTTTATGGTAGTTTATATCCTTCCATTGTCAAAAAGATTTGAGTTTTTTCTTGTATGATGTTCATCTTGGTTTTCTATTATGAAGCTCATGATAGCTCTGTTACTAAAAGCATGAAGGCAGATCGGTGAAAGATCTTTAGATTCTCTTGTTTACATGTGTTCTAGGCGTTAAGCTACACGATTGTTTGGTGTAGTATTGTTCATCTTTCTCAAATTGTGTTTTTTTTTTACAATTTGATCATCTTGGTGTTGATAGATGTTAGCTATGTTTCTAAAATCATTTGGTGAGATATTCGATTCTCTTGTTTTCATATCTGGTGTAATCTTTAGCCTTTTCAAAACTTTTAAGCTACTTGGTTGAGTGCAGAATCTGTTTCTTAAACTTTGAGTTGCAGTTTTTGATCATGTTGAATCTTTAGCCCCTTTTGTTTTAGGGTTAAAGGTTCATGATTTGTTGTATGCACGATTTTTTGTGTTGTCAAAATTACATTTGATGAGTTTGCGATTTGATTGGAATATGCAGAGATGCTCTTGATGCGATTGGGTTAGTCCGTTACTGCTGCAGGCGTATGCTTATGACTCATGTCGATCTAATCGAAAAGCTTTTAAACTACAACAGTAAGTAATAATATCTTCATACTACGCGCTCTGCTTGATCCTTTTTGTTAATTTGCCATTTCTTTTCCTTGCAGCGATGGAGAAATCTGACGCCAATTGAAAAACGATGCTATAACGAATAACAAGTCAGCAAGTGCAAAAGTGAAGTCTTGACTAGGAACTGATGATGTTTGAATGTTTTGTCATGTTTCTGTTCGGTTTTAGGAACTTGGGTCTAATTTAGACGAGCCACATATAAAGCTCAAGCTTGTAGACTCGTCATATGTTGATGATTTGCTTTTGGTAATTATTATAAAAGGATTCAATCTTTAAAAATCTAATGGCTTCATCTTTTAGATGTTGGCTTTAGCCATCACGGAGGGAGGGTCACTATACACAAAAATCAATTTCTTTGACCCGTATAAACTTCCACTTTCTCTCTATGATCCATCTTTGCTTCACAGTTCACACCAAAGCTTGTGATTGATCGAACAAGAAACAAGTTTGAGAGGTGTATGTATGATGGAAGTTTAGTGATTTGAGAACTTGTTTGGTTGAGTTCTAAACTTAACAGCCATATTAAAACAATTGCATATATAATACAAAAGCAGAGAGGTGTTGTAGTGTTAGAGATGAAACATATTTTGTGATAGCCCTCTCGTTTCATGTACTATCATTTCCAATGAACCAACCAACGTCAATTCATATATATTTGTTTCATTTGGGTGTGTACATTATTTTTCGTAAGATATTAATTTGTAAGGTTTAGTTTCATAATATGTATACTCCTTGTAATATTGTAGTCTTGCATCTTTCTGTTATGAACTATTATGTGATGTCCATTATAAGCTCATAAGGCCAATCTTTTAAAAGGTTCTAGAGTTACTTGTAAACTAGATTTTACTTTGTTAAAGTAAAACTCTCTCTTTGTACTCCTATATAAAGGACCACCTATTCATTGGAATAAGACAACATCAATTCTTTCTATCTCTTCTCTCTATTCACAACACGTTATCAGCACGAAACTCTAGCTGTCTAAGCTAAGAGGTATATAAATCTGCTTCTGATCATTTATTCATTCCAACTTCAAATCATGTTTATTATCAACTCATGGTTTGTAAGAGTGGATCATTAATCAATATTATGATAGTCTCCTGCAGAGATTCAAATCATATGTTTATGTTGTTAATTTTTTTTTTTTACAAGATCAATATTATGATAAATTCTCTTGAAGAGATTTACATAATCAATATTATGATGAATTCTCTTGTAGAGATTCAATATGTTTATTATGACGAATTCTCTTGTAGAGATTCAATTTATATATTTATTTTAGTATATTTATGATTGATATTATGATAAATTCTCCTGCAGAGATTTAAATCATATAATTATTTTATTATTATTATTTTTATAATTGATAAATTCTCCAGTAGAGATTCAAATCACATGTTTTATTAATATATTTTTGCATAATATTTATAAACATGTCTTTATTCATTAAATTAAATTTATTATTTCTGCAAATTATTTGCATATCAAATATTTTATTCTGTTTTTACACATAGTTTGCACGAAATATATTAAACTGAATATTGTTCATTAAAATCATTTATTGCTTATATTATTTATGCACATGATTTGCATGAAATTTGTTAATTTGAATTTTATTTATTAAAATCGAATATTGCCTCATATTGTTTCTGTACATATTCATTAAATCTAATATTTTCCATACTGTTTTTGCACAGAATCGCTTTTACACGAATTTTGCACGGATTTTATTATGTCATTATACAGATCTTGATATATGTTTCAAAATCTGCAGTAGTTTCTGTTTTTAATATTGTTAACCCGAAGTTTGCACATATCTGATTATCCGAATTTTACACGAGTTTTGCACAAACATCCCAATTTTTGCACAGAACTATTGTATCATGCTTGTATGTTCTCACGAGATTTGTACTGTTACATCAAAAATTGTTTATTCTCATTATCACGAAATTTGCATATGTTTTATCATCTGATCTCTTTTGATGATTGATTGATTGAGTTATTTTATGGCATGTTATATTTATTTGTACTATATATATAAATCATATCTTATATAATTGCATTTATGTGTCATCATATTTTTGATGATCTTAAGATTAAATACTTGATCATAGAGCAATATATAGAAAAAGACATTTCACCAGAATGTGATATGACCTAACTTATTAAGATGATTGCATCTAAGACAACATGACTTGAAGTCTCAAATGAAGATAATATCAATGATACAGAGGAAAACATTACATAAATATTATTGTCCTGCAGACACAATAATATTAAAAATATTTTGAGAAGTATTTTAAAATTATTTATTTTCTTTTAAGCTTCTTTTAAAAATTCAAATTGTCACTTGAAGTGATAATAGAGATGGTACATCCCACTGATTTAGTTGGTTTAATATGTTTTTGTTTATACATATGTAGTTATATAATAGTTATTTTTCTACTATTATTTATATGAATATTTTGTATTTGCCTATAAAAGATCTCTAAGTTCTTTACATAAATTTAAGGAAAAGTATGATCACTATAATGTGATATTACCTAAAGCTTATTATGAGCCTTTACATCTAAGATTATAAGACTTGAAGTATGTAAATAATTCTTATTATGTTGAAGATTATGTGAAGAGAATATCACTAATCTAGAGATGCTAGAAGACATACTCTAATCCTTAGACAAATAATATTGTTTTGTAGACAATATGAGAACTATTTTGAAAAGATAAATGAGTTATTGATAAAAAGTCAGGAATTATATCTAATTAGTTATGATCCATTCCTTGAAGAGAATGTGATATTATATAGTGGGATAGAAAAGAATCATGTTAATAAAATTAGCCAAGGAACTGGCTCAAGAAATGGTCATGAATGTAAATATGAAATGGATATGATCAAGGTCTAGATCAAAAGTTTTATTTCAAGAACTCAAATTCTTACAAGAAGTGAGAAAATAAATATGGTATAAACAAGAGGTATTTCTCTTGTCTAAATATATAATAAACTACTGTGAGTACAAGATCTGGTAATATATGGATTATTGAAAGCTCTAGAAGAGTAGCTATATTTGCCAGTAGGAATGCAATTATTGATGTATTATATCTCCCAAGTCTCAAAAGTTTAAAGAATCAAAGATATAAGACATGATCCAAGTTGGATATGTTATTGATTTTAGATTGGGATTCAATTCAAAATAGATGAACCTGAAGTGTCATCATCTTGAGGGGGAGAATTGATGAATCCCACAATCCATAGTAAGTAAAACATCTAGAAGATTATGTTCAAAGTCAAAATGATCTTGATGAATCATTTATCAGGTAATTTTAATGGATTTCAAAGTTAGTCAAGTTAAGACAATAAAAAAGGAAAATTTGAATACCTTCAAATCTAGAGGATTTCAAAGTTAATCAAGTTAAGACAATAAAGAAGGAAAATTTGAATACCTTCAAATCTAGAGTATTACTAAATGCAGTAAAAGTATTTTGGAGAAATTACATACACTCTCTAATAGATTGTAATTGTATAATGGAGATAAATGTTATATAGTAAACCAGAAGTTTAAGGAATATAACATAGTTTGGCATGAGCTAGTTATATCATTCTGGTTCAAGAAATATGCGAAAATAATTAATAGGTATATAGACATTGATTGAAGAACTTGAAGATTCTTCCTAATGATTTAATCATATGACAAATATGACATTATGATTTTCACTTGCCAAAATAGATTTGAAATCTATTTCATTTCCTAGAAAGTTTACAAGGAAAAGTTTGTGGTTAAGTAATTTATTATATTGAATATCTGCAACTTGAAGTTTGCTAGACCCCTTGGTAATGTTAGTGAATTCACGTCCTAAGCCTTCGATGATAAAAGCATAAAGATAAATATTGAACATCCAATAGCAAATGTTCATACACAAAATCCAGAAGTATTAATTCGAATAAAGCCAACAAGTATTCAAAGTTCTCCCATCAAATCTGGTTTTGGGTCAGAAACCAAATATTTTCCATCTAAATGATTTGGATGTGCAGTATATATCCACATTGCTCCACCATAAGGTTATAAGATGGATCCTCAAATGAGGTTGAGAATATATGTTGGATATAAATCTCCATTGATAAATAAGTATATAGAGTCTATCCATGAAGGATTTATATTAGGCTTGATTTGTAGACTGTCATTTTAATATGTCAGTAATTCCAACATCAGGGGGAGAAAATAAACAGCTGGAAAAGATAAGTTGGAATGAATTATCATTGATCCTCAGACTAAAGAATGTGAATTAAAGTCCAAAAGATGATTCATTTACAAAGTTTAGTAAATCAGTTGCCAGAAACATTTACTGACCCAAATAGAGTGACAAGATCACATCCCAGCTATAAAGGCTCCAATAAAATATAATGTTCCAGAAGGACAATATCAAGCTGCTAAAGAGTTTAAAGAACGCATGAAGCGTTATAGACTTATTGGTTCCAAATATAAATATCCTCAAAAAAGAAAAGGAGCAGAATATGACAATGGTCAAACTGAAGAGATAGATTTTGAATGATCTCAAGAAGAGACATTAAACATGACAAGAAAGAAAGTCAGGTACCTGAGACAATAAAGAGATTTATCTCAACAAATTATGTCATGTCTAGAATAAATTGGAACCGAAAAGCAAATCGACGTCGTAAATATTTTTGCATGCAGTGTAGCAGTCGATATGATAGATGAGAAAGAGGATCATGAAATCTATTGCAAAGTGTACACAAAGATATGATTGGCCAAATTATAAAGAAGCAATAGTCATATAATTAAAATCTCTTGGAAAGAGCTAAGTATTTGGACCAGTTGTCCATACACCTAAGGGTGTAAAACCAGTGGGATATAAATAAGACTTTATATAAAAGAATGATAAATAGAAAATTAAATATGAAGAGACAAACTCTTCTGTGGTGAATACAACTACTTTAAAGTTCCTTATCAGTCTGGCAATAAGAGAAGAACTTGACTTATACTACCCACTGGATAATGAAACTTAAATAAAAATCCCAGAAGGATGCAAGTTCCCGAAGGATTAAGATTGTCAAAATTATGTTCCTGAAGATTCTAATTATTCGATCGAATTAAGACAAAAACGTTTTATATGGTATAAGTGAATATTATAAGGTTAACCAATATACCCATATGTATTTACCAAAATATTATGGATCAAGAGGATCCTGGATTTGAATATAATCATATCTCTTGAAGAGTTATCCCAAGTTGTAATTTGGAAGAAAAATCTTTGGAATAGACGATATTGTCTTTACATGTTCCAAATTGAGATATCTAAGTGGTAG